GCTGAAATGCTGACCCAAGTCCTCATCCCTCAGAAAGGTTTCCACTGAAGCAAGCTTGTGCATCACAAAACCAGTCAAAAAGGCCATGCAACCCACGTTCCATTGCTTAATTTTGCAAGAGGAATCCAGTGACTCCTTCCTCAGGAAGGAAGCTCACTGTTTAGGACCTTAATTTTGCAAAAGGCAGTGATCTGCTGACTTTCTTCCAACAAGTAACTAGGTCTTTTTCTCTTTCTCCATGAACTCCACTAGCTGAGAGCCAGGCAGATCAGCAGCCCCAGATGCTAGCTCCCACAGCATTCCAGCCATACTGCTTGAAGGAAGTCCTTCTCTGTAAAGTACAATGTTTTAACTCCAAAGTGGCAGGCCACTAACTGCCCTCAGCACAGGGCATCTACATTTCACCACTGAGTACAGGCAGAGTGAGATTAAACACAGCCAGTCAGGCTTTGTGCTTTGCCAAAATTAAAGCCATGACCATGGCTGGTGTGAAACCAGTGCCAACACCAGCATGGCTAGACAGCTTGCTCTCAAACACTTCTTTTAATCCCCTGTCTCCTCAGCTATTCATACAGTTTAATCTCAGACTAGCTAATCAAGAGTAGCTTCCACACATTTGCCTTACAGAATTAGTTACCACTGCAGAGGCTACTTTAGTGTAGCAAAACTCCAAGCACACCAACAGCTACATGCAACTCAAGCTGCAACCAATTCAATAATTGAGCATTTTGATTCCTCAACTGGGAGCCAAATCAGGTGGCAGATAGGAACAAGTCAGCACACTTATGCATGTGTGGACACTGTGTAAGCCTTCAGAAGAAAAAAAGACTGATTTATAGTTCTTGTAGTCCTTAGATATTGTAAAACTTGCATTTGGAAAAGAACTAGCTGAAGCCTTCCCCATGTTACATCCTAGCCAGAATAGCAGGTCTGGACCCATCAGTAAATGCTCAGTCAGGAACAGTCATTTTCTGCAGAGGGTCTACTCAGGCTTCAGGAGAGAGAGACAAGGCATCACAAGGTGGTCTTTCTGCTATAAAGCAGCATTTATGGGGTCTCACATGAGCATTTTTCATTAGGGAGAGCAATTCCACAGAATGACCCAATTCACTCCGCACTGAACCTCGGTGCTGAGGGCGCGGCCGGGCGGGCCCCGGGCAGAGCTTCCCTCCCGCAGCGCTCCAGGCACCCCCACGTCAAAGGCAGCTCAGCAGCTCACCGGCTGCTCTGCATGGCATGAACCCCGCTGACTGCACACCCCGAGATCGCGAACATCTCGGGTCCAATCCGCTTCCAAAACGGCCCCACGTTACCCGAGGCCTGTTTTAAAAAGCAACTCGGCGCCGCGGGCAGCGGGAGCAGCGCCGCGGGCTCGGGGCGGGGGGACCCCCCGGTGCCGGGGGGCGGGGCCGCCCCGGG